GGGGGGGGGTATGGCGCGGTAGGAAGCGGCGCTGCCGTGATGTGCTCGGCCAAGATAGGACAGGCCCATCTGCGAATCGTTCACTTTTGTCTGTGGCGTTGGCCTATGCCGGGGTGGTCACCGGTTACTTCAGAGCGGCCTTTGATGAGTGAGCTGGGGAGGGGAGGGATTCTGTTCAGTTTAGACCTGATAGTGATAAATCCGTTGAGAGGACTCAAGGGCGTGCTGAATTTGAATAAGCAAGGTTGAGCAGGGGCAGAGGGTCATTACCCTGAAATTTCAGCTTCTTAGACTTTGTGGTTCTCGAGATAATAATTTGCCCGTAAAAACTTTCATTAGCCCGTAGGTGATGCCCGAGAGCGCGGGAACGCTGAATTTGAGTGGGCAAGGTTGATCGTGGGCAGGGGTCATTAGTCTAAAATTTCAGCTTCTTAGACTCCGTGGTTTCCGAGATAATAATTTACCCGTCAAAAATTTTCATGGGGTCTTACATGTTACCCGTGGGTACAGGAAGGTTGAATTTGAGCTTTCTGGGTCGTACGTGGTCAGGGGGCATGCCCATAAAATTTTAGCTTCCTGGCTTCCGTAGTTACTGGGATACTGATTTTACCCGAAAAACTTTTACGGGGCCGTACGTTTTACTCGCTGGTACGGGAAGACTGAATTTAAATTTGCCGCGTCACCCGCTGGCGGGGAACACTATACCAAAATTTCAGCCGCCTAGCTTTTGTGGTTGCCAGGTTAAAAGTGCGGGACAAAATGTGGGACACACACACAAACACACACAGACAACCCCGTGACAGTATGCGTCTTGTACTGCTATTACACAGCACAAAACGCATAAAAATGCTTATATATTTGAGCGGCTAACTCCCTGGGCGTCGCAACTGGATTTCTAGTCATCGAAAATCGACATCCAAGGCCGGTTGAGTGGAGCCGAGTTCCAGCAATTGCCCTTGCACGCAGTTCGTATTGCTGATGCGGTCGGTACGCGCTGAGCTTCTTTCGCTCATCGCTATTTTTATCGCAGTTCTTCTGTGTTCGTTTCTAACCATGCATGTCATTCATCCGCGCTTCACTACTTTCAGTAATTGCAAGGAGAAGACGGTGCTTTGTCCTGTATGGTGAGTGGAAGTAAACTTGGTAGGACAGACGAGTCGCTGGGAGCGGCCGTTCCGTGTAGTTTTTTTTTTTTTGAATTGGAAGGTTGTTTTTTTCCCCTTTTAGTTGCCGGGGGGGGAGGGGGTTGTTTACTCATCAAATGAAATGAGGCCTTATTCCGCACAGGGTTGGCAATTTGCAGCCCGGTGCGAGCCATTATTT